ATGACATTTGAGCTTTGTCTGGAAGTCCGCAGAAGTGGAGGATCAGGAAAAGCTGACAGTATTTGTGGATTTTTGTAGGCTGACTTTGTTAAGAGCAGTTTCCTGCTCTTCATTGAGTAGTGTGATAGTCATAAGAAAATCACCATAGTTTTGATGCCTTTTTCCCATCTGGATTATGAAAGGAGGACTGGTGATGTAACCACTCTAAGTAGTGTAGTATACTGAAAATGTGGCCTCTACTCCTGTTGATGTCCTTAATAATGCAAACTTTGAAGTATTTTGTTTCACCACTGAAAAATAAATAGTGAGGATTAGACCTTCTCCTATAGCATTTCAGCTTGCCACAAATATGTTAACAGGTAACTAAGAAATAATGCAATCTCGGTTTGGATGATTATACAAGGAGTTTTCTGTCTTCCTGCACGTACATAAACTTTTCTGATCTGTAAACATGGAGATACGTTTATTAAGAATTGCTATGATACCAGAACAGTTAATTGTAGCTATTAAACTTGAATTCATTAAGAATGTTTTTAGAAAAAAATTACACCCCTAAGCTACTTTTATGTAGCTATTAAACTGCTTTATATCGGTATGATAAGTTTAGTAGTTCAGATTTCTTTCCAAATCACAAGTAAAAAAAACATATGTTGAAGCAAGTGTACCTCATGTTCTAAATGTAAACCTTTTTTTATATTAAATAATTATCTGTAGGTTTTATGCAGTGCATGGAATGATTGTCAGATTTTATCAAACTTTGTAAGGCTGTATTTGGTAGCAAGACAGCAAAGTTTGGCTTACTAACCAACTCAACTGTTGTTTGTTAATGTCAGATTTAAACAGTTTAAACTTCATTTGCCCTATGTTGTGCAGGGGAAGCAGGTTTTCTGAAAACTGCCATCAGTTATTTTTCCTTATTAACTATAAAGACCTGAAATAAAAATAATTTAAAAAAAATCCTAGTACATTCCTAGAGCTTCTTCTTTTTAAAGTAACAATTTTTTCCCCTCAAAACCAGTAGTTCTTTATTCTGAAGATAAGTGACAGATAACCTATTTGTTACTCACAACATTAAGTAGACCCAGAGCTAATAGGGACTCTTAAAACTATGTTGTGGTTTTAGTTACAGCATCATGAATGGTAAGAATATACTTCATAATGCATTCTATAAATTACGATCTGAAGAGAACTTTTTAACATGTAGTTTTATACACTTGCTATAGAATATTAACATTAAGGGGTACATTTAAGAGATGTTCTGACCTTACTCTTTGTCTGGCATTATTGTAGCATGATGACAGAGACGACGGAGTGGATTATTGGGCCAAAAGAGGAAGAGGCCGTGGTACTTTCCAGCGTGGCAGAGGGCGTTTTAACTTCAAAAAGTCGGGTAGCAGTCCGAAGTGGACACATGACAAATATCAAGGGGATGGCATTGTGGAAGATGAAGAAGAAACGATTGAGAATAATGAAGAAAAGGACAGACGCAAAGAGGAAAAGGTAAATCGTTCAGTCAATTGCAGATTAGACAGTTCGTCTTGAAAGTCATTGGGTGCGAGCGGGGATCACTTTAAAAAGTTTTGGAGTTTGGTTATTAACAGTTTACAACAAGACTGTTTTCTTTCTTCCCACAGGAATAACTCTGGAAGAAAGTTGTAGCTGAAAGAGCAGCTGTTGCACCACCCTCACAACATTTTTAATATGTTTTTTTGTTGTCAAATGAATGTAAGCATTTTACTTAAATTTTACTGTTGGAAAGTAGTTTAGGGGGATTGTTTTTGTTTTAAGCCTTTAGAAAAAATCATGATATAGTAAACTATGTTAATGATCGTACAGGTAGAAAGTAAAATATTTGTAACAACTTTTAAGAAATTTTACTGTTTGTTATATGCAGTGTAATTCTGCTTTGTCCAAATATATGGTCAAGTACAACTCTAAAAGTTTTGATTCTCCCCTATGTCTGTGTTTTATTCTGAAGTAAACTTACAGTTCTGCACACCTGAAATCTTGGAGCAGCATTTTTTATAAACTGATTATTACTTCTGTGTTGCCTTTTTATAAGAATTGTATTTAAGAGTAGTTATACAGTCATAGTGTAAGTACAGACAGTTGTGCAAAATGCTGAGTATGTTAGTTCACAAGAATTAAATTCACACAGTATCAGTGATAAACCTGGATTCTTATTCCACCCTGCGAGAGTGCAGCAAGAATTTTGCTTTAACGGTGAAATTGTCACTCTTCTTTAGTAGCCTAAGAAATACATACGTATATAAATACTAAAGTGAGTTTCAAGTGTATTCTTTGATAGCTTAGTCACCAACAGAACACTTTAGTGAATAAACTGGTGGCAGTATCTTTTTTTATTTCTAATAGTTGTGCTTCTGGAATTTTTGTAGCCAAAGTGCAAACATTAGTCATTTTTTTTTCTTTTAAGAAAAATAACAAACCCACAAGCTTAGTTTAGTGGTAGGTGCACACTTTAACTCCAGAATGTTGAGAGTGACACTAACATATTTGAGTTACCAGAACAAGGACATTCTAATACAACAAGATTACTTTGGTTTTCTTTCTCAAACAGCTTTTGATAAACTAAATCTTATGTTATATGAAGTTAAAAGTGTAGTTGTTCTTGTTCACCCCTTGGAATAGCATACTGTCTTTGAAAAATAAAGCTTTTCCTTTCCTCTTTTTTTTTTATCTGATAGAGATGTTTGTATTAAATACATATATAATGCATGCCCTTCTTATTGGCTTTATAGTTAGGGAGTAATTAACTATCTGCCCTATCCAAGTTAAATACTAGAAGGCAGGAAAACAGTACTGTCTCTAATCCTAACTTAGTTGAAGAAACTGTATTTTGGATTGTACTGGTTTGCCAGCAGCTGGGTAGAAAGGAAAACAGGAATAATACTTGCCCTCCAGTAGAAGTTAGTTACTGAAGCGTCATTTCTGCTTTGTTTTGGAAAGTTTAGTCCAACTATACTGTTGTTGCAAGATTTGCTTTTACGTGTACAGTGCATGTTTTAATAGCTGTTTGAAATGTAAAACTGAGTATTCCTTGGACTTTATAGCAAAACTCACACACACATTTCTGTATATTAAATCAGAATAGGCAAGAAAAGGAACAAAACAAACTTGACACAAGTATCAAAGTCTTTCCTAATGAAGTAAAATTTAGCACCAGTCTGAAAATAACCAGTAAGACCAAAATACACTTGAGCTGTCATAACCTTAGAACAGGTAATCTGTATCATCCAGGTCAAGTTGAAAATGGATTGTTGTAGTCTGTCATAAGGCAAGATAATTCCTGGGTGAATAGGCAGATGTAACTTTTGCACTTCAGCTGAATGCTCAGGGAGATCTGGTAGAGTTTGCTTTGCTAATGGCATTTGATCCTACAGACCTGTCTGTAGATTATGTGTCATAAAAATGCTTTTTTAATAATCCCTAATTTCAGTGCAGTTTATTAAAAATATAATTTCATTTCTGAACACATACTGCCAGCCATAAGCATTTTTAAAAATTAATTAGTTCAGATTAAGAGATAATATAGTGAAAGATGCAAGTTGTAGTCTGATTATCAGAGATCTGTAAGGAAGTGGGAGTGAAGATGATTTTTATATAAATCCAAAACTAATGCTTCAGCACCTATTAGTCTTTCAGCATTAACAGTGAATTTTCCCTCTTGGGGAAAAAACACATTTTGAAGTTTTCACCGGATGCTACTAAGGTAGTTGCACTTAAATTCCATTCACCAGAGTCATGCATTTTGCATTTCTTGTTACAAGGTAAAGACCATCACTGATGGATCTCCAGGGAAAAAAAGTCTAGACATGCTGGCATAAAATGTTTAATTTACCTTTTGAGTTCAATAATTCATTCTGACTTGCTGCTCTCCAGCAATGAAGCACTTTGTGAATTCACTTTGTCTCTGCATGGTGTGCTTATAAAGTTTGAAGTATCCCTGCAATTCAGATGAAATCAGACATCTATTTTACTAGGCAAAAAAATTTCCAACAACCAACCCAAACAAAAACCCCCCAAACACACCAAAAAATCCAGCTATCCTGTTGTTCTAGGCTATGTGTACTTGATCAGTTTCTTGGTTCAGAATTAAACCTCACATCCTGTTCCTGGGAATGCAGAATCAGTAGCATTACTGTAACAGTGGGTAGCTGCATCGGATTTAAGCTTTCCTGCTGTTATCACCTTTGGTACATTTTCAGAGGTAAATGCTGCAGCAGTAGGCCTTGAGCCCCATGTCAGTTCTTGTCGTTTTTTAAAGCTGGCCTGTCACAAAGTCATTTTCTTCAGAGTATCCTGCAGGTCCCATCTGTACTGCTCAGAGTTGTACCTGCTGCCTTGAAGCCTTTCTGTATGAGGTCTCTCTCAACCGCCCCTCTAGTTCCAAAGCAGCTGGTTACTGGTGTTGATCCAGTCAAACTAAAACCTCAAGCTTAAACCTCCCTAGGCCCCTGAACCCTCTCTGTGCTGTTAACTTCAGTATGTCTTTACCGGTACTGTGTTTGGTCTTGGAGAATCAGCCTATGTGACAAGTTACGGGTAATAGTAACTACACTACTAACAATAGTGACGCTATCTGCATAGGTGGAGGGGAAAGATATCCACATTACTTTTCTGAGTAGAAGCACTGTCTCCTTTTGTCACACTGCAAGCGTTCTTGAAGTATTCAGTTTCGTAAACAGCAGAAATCTTTACAAGCGAGATTAAAGAACAGGTATCCAAAGCCAGATTTCTTGTTTTGAAGTGAACTCAGTTTGGTTCTGAGCTCAGTTTGGTTCTCAGTTTTCGCTCTGGCAGTGGCTGGAGCTGCGCGTTCCCGGCGGTGCCGACGGCCCGCCTTCAAACCGCTCCCTCCCGACACCGCCCGCGCGGGCCCGCCCCGCCCCCTCATTGGCTCTGCCCCGCGCACTGCCGGGCTCCTATTGGCGGGCTCCCCCTGTGCCCCGCCCCCGGCCCCGACGGGCGCTGTTTCGGCGGGTCCGGCAGTGCCTCCCGCCGTCCCGCTATGGCGCTGCTGCTGGATCTGCTCCGCCGGCTGCTGGAGCTCCTGGGCTGGCCGCCCCACCAGGTGAGAGGGATCCCCGCGGTGGTGGTGGCTGTCTGCTGCCGGGTGGCGCCCGGAGACCCGCTGCTGCGCGGCGTGCCGCCCGCAGCCTCCGTGGTTCCGCGTAGGGAGGGAGCGGGAGCGGGGTGGGCAGCGCTGGCGGTGCGGAGGGTTCCGCGCCCTCCATGCCCACAGCCGGGCTCGTCGGTACACTCTGCCCGCCCGTCGGAACGCGTGGGTCTGCTCCGGCACGGGCGGTCAGGGCACGCTTTTTGCCCTGAGCAGAGTGGAACAGTCAGCAGCGTCAGCTGTTCCTGCTCTGCGGCTTTAAATGAGAGGCTGCGTACCCATTCCCAAGTTAATTCTGTGTTTCCAGGGACCCGGCAAAGGTACGGTATGGGAAGCGGAGACAGCGCACTGGTGCAGTGTCGGGGCTGATGCTGGAGTGGAGTCCGTGGCAGCTCCTCGGTGGGGGTGTCAGCAGCGAGGTGCTGCTGCAGCGTGTGCTTCCGAGGGTATATGTGTGTGAAACTGCCAGAGCGTCCCTAGGGCCGATAGTTTGGCTGAGTTGTCCTCTTTATTTTCTTTTTCCATCGTTGGGACCTCTTGGTGTTTTTTGACAGGCCATATTTTTTGAAACTCGCGTGCTTGGCAGCAGTATCACTCGTGCAGTCAGAACATGCCTTCCTTCAGCAGTCTCATCAGGAAGGCATTTCCAGCAGTTATACACCATCATAAGGAAGTATCAAATCAAGGTACATTACATTTATTTCACTTCTTTGCTAACATTTTTCCCCAAAGACTTACACAGGTACATGTGATTACTTAAACGTGCCCTTTTTCTTTTGTCAGTATCTCAGGATATTTGCCTTTGTGCCTCTCTAAAGTATTCTGTGAACAGGCTGTATTTTGGAAGTGTCTTAGACATTGTTAAAACCAGTGTAGGCCTCTTTGGACTTTCAACTTGAGAAGAGCATGGGAAAGTTAAGTTAACCTAACTGTGTAATATTTAATTTCATATAATATTAAAGGATTTAATAATTTGGATTGTAAGAACTGCGGAATTTGGTTTTGCTTCTCAATTTCAAAGGTTTTCTGATTTTTAGGTCATATCTGTTTGCCAAAAAAAGCAATATGGATCTACTCGAAGTGTTGTCCGGAGACTTGGGACAATTCTTTCCCTGGAACCCTATCCAAGACCTTATTTTCAAGTATGCAATTTGTTGTCATATGTATACTTTACCTGTTTACATTTTCTTGTTTCTTAATTTGATGATAGCTTTTCTGTTCTTTTTAGCTTGTGTAATTTGTGTGTTGCATCCCTTGTACTCCCTCTTTTCAACTCCCTTACATCACTGTTTAAAAATTCCTTTTGCTGAGGCAGAACTTTCAGTATGTACTGAATTCTTTTCTCTTTTTGTGTCGTTTTTGTTTGGTTTAGCTTGTTCAAGACCCAAATCCATTGGGTTATGATGAACAAAGTGCAGCTCCAACTTCTGTGGCTCCATCACTTGCTGATGTCCTGTGGGTGGCAAATGATGAAGGACAGGCTTTTACTAGACACAGGTAAGTAGAAGTATAAAAATGAGTAATTGGAGTAAAAGGAGTTATACCTTCTGTTCTTTGTGGGATGTGAATTCATGTTTGCTTCTTTTTCTTTTTTCCTAGCATTTTCCAGAAACATCTTAGGGTTTTTTTGGTGGGGGCAGTTCCTGCTTACCTGGAAATTCTTACTGTGTAATGTATTCTTATCCAAAAGATTTCTGAAATTTAGTCTCCTATTTTCTCTTCATAGTAGTATGTCAGATGTGTTGGTGGTATTTTAATTGGTTTTCACTCACAAAGTATTTTTTGAGTTGGAGAGAAATTTGGTTATTGCAGTATACCCTAAGATTATTCTTATCCTTATCCTTTTGGTTTGCAACCATTTTGATACATTTTATACAGGGGAAAACAAGCAAAAATATTTAAATGTCTTCTTGATTTCTGCACTGCTCTGTGTGCTTGCTTTGCTGGAAGTACAAACATAACTTTTTAAAAATATTTTCCTTCAACATTCTATAAAGGCTAGAAAGAATTACAAAGTATTTCAGTTCCTGTGAAAAGGCAAATTGTTCAGGAATTTGCAGACACAAATAGTGTATGAGTTTTGTCTTTTTTTCCCCACTAGAGAAGAAAGAGAAAGTTGTCTTACTTTTCCTCTAAAGGATCTGTTCAAAATCAGAGGATGAAGTAGAGAACCAGAACCAAGATTAAAATGTGGACACTTGTATTGTCTTTTACTCTATCTGTATAGGATGATGTAATTCTGCTTCATATTGGCATTTGTTTGTTTGTGATCATTGTTCTGCTTGTTGCTAATGACAATACAAGAAACTGATGGATTCAAAAGGCACACTTTTTGTTGGAGAGGTTTTGATACAGTGTGTTCATGCAACAGTGGTAAAATACCACAAGAGTAAGAATATTGTTCAAAGGAATATTGTTAAAAGGCCTGTTTTGTCTTGCTTATGCTTGTGCTGTTCTTTAACTGGTCAGATTCACAGACATATGACAGTTTATTTTTTTGTTGTTTCCATTCTTTCCTCCTCTTCTGGCTCTGTGGGATGTTTTTCAAGAACAGCTATTCTAATTGATATCTTTTCACTCTCAAGCCGTGTGAATAACAAGTGTTTTTGGCAAATCAGAAAGCAATGCCACAGGATGGTTAATATAAGGGAAACGTTCTGGTTTGTTTTCAATCAAAGCTTAGTACATCTTGAATAAATAAAGTAAATTTAATTTCTTTGTTTTATAATGAGATTTTATACTTATTTTATATTTTAAGGTTCTTTCTGCAGGCACAGACTTGAAACAATTTTTAAAGTTAAAACCTGAGACAGCACAATTTTCCAATGCTGTCTTTGTTCATAGTAGCTTATACAAGATGATGTTCTTATACTGTAAGTGTATATTAAACCTTGTTATTCTCCAGTATATTTTCTGAAAGATTGTAATTTCTTTGCTTATTGCAGTGTTCTCTTAGAGTTTGATAAATGACTGAAATTTCTGAAGCCTAATTAAGAGACCATTAGTCTTTGATTCTACTACCTTTCATATTCACGTAGCAAGAAGGGAGAGACACCGCATGGTGTCATTCTAATAGTCATTGAGTAAGGACAACTTAATCCTACTGTGCGACTTTGTGATGTTAAATTATCCCTGAGTAAATTATCTGACTAATTTTTATGATTTTTATGACTTTGCAAGGATCTACATCGTACTTGAGCAAAGGGAGACTTAAAACATTTTAAAGCTTGTGAGTAGTTAAAAGTATAGTTTTCTTAGATGGTTTGAAAATTTAGGTCTTGCTGAATGACAGTAACTTTTTTGAACAGACAGTAGTTTTGAGATTTCCATTGTTGGCTGAGCCTTTTGAAACTGTGTCTTTTGTGGCTTTCTAGGACTGAATTATGCAGAAAAGAGAAAAGCACAGCTCATCATGACCTATATCCATCTATAGATTCAATACAGAGCATTCCAAGAAACAGTACACACAAAGACAATATTGATCAAGCAGCCCTCCAGAAGATTTCTGCTCTTGAAGATGAGCTAACCTTTCTTCGTGCTCAGATTGCTGCAATTGTTTCAGCACAGACACTGGGAACCATTCCATCACGTAAGCCCTTCTTGTTTGAGGCAAACCAGTTTTCCTTTTTTTGCTTTAGAGCTTGCCTTGTCTGATAGAGAATGTCTCTAACTTTTCTAACTGAACATACACCAATAAATTTACCAAATATAGTATTTTGTTTCTCTTTTTGCTATTTGGTGGCCCTCTCTCACTTCTATTTTGTGGCCTGTTTGCCAAGTTCAAAAGTAGATCCTAAGTAATCTTTGCACTCATTTCCATATTTGTGAAGGAGCCTAATAACATCACTATGTAGGCTACCAATTATTGTTTAAAAAATTACAGACTATTTTGTCCCTCTGTGTTTTGCATTGTTTCTAACAAGTTATCAAAATAATGGATAGGAAAAGTATTGTAAGTCAATCAGGTTTGGGCTTTAACAAAAACAGATAGATGTGTCTAAGATAGTTGATCTCCAGCATGAACTTTTATCTTGTGACTTCTCTTTTTCCCTTAAAAATTCTGAGGTCTCGATTGTCTTACTTGCAGACTAACCCCACTGTCGTTGCTGAAGTACATAAACTAGTGCGAGATACTTACTCTTATGTGGCATTGAGAGGACCTCTGTGATTCAGTTAGCTGTTCTGATGACTCTTCCTCTGTCTCTTCTCCATTGTACTCAGTATTGTAGTCTATTTTACATGTTTCATGACTATCTTTGCTTTTGCTTCATGTATGTTGTTATAACCTTCAGACCATCGAGAACAAACTGTATAATAGTTGCTGTTGGAGGGCTACTGTGCTGATTTGTCTAGTGCTTAGATTGAAAACACAAATAGAGAAAATCAGAGCAGCATAGGACACCTCAGATTCATTATATTTCATGTGTTTTGAATCTGTGGGTTTGAAGTAATGTTCTTTGTTTTAAGCCTAGTTCTTCTGTCAGATAATGTACAAGGTGTGTGAGAAAGTGCTTTTAGAGAGCAGTCTTATCTTCATTCCTAGATGTTAATATATGTTGTTCTTTTTCTTTTCTTAACTGTATATAGAAGCCTTTAATACACTCAGCACTCCAGATGGATTTTACCCAGTGCCAGCCATGACTTCCACACCATTGTCCGTCTCTCACAATCACTTTGTAATTCCCTTGCCTCCTCCACTTCCTTCTGGTGTACCATCTGGTGTTGATTCTGGTAAATCTGCAATGGAACTTATAAAACAACGCCGTGCTGCAAGAAATGGTGATTCAAGTGCAGCTGATAGTGCTGATCATCAGAAGACAAAGAACGTTCCTAGTATGATGGATGTTTTGAAAGACCTGAACAAAGTTCAGTTGCGAGCTGTTGAGAGGTAGGTTGAATTAAACGTGTACCTCGGCAAGCTAAGGCTGTGTAAGCATCACAAGCACTTCAGTAGCACCAGAGAATACCAGTGTGAAACATCATTTCTTGTGCAGCTACTGCTGTCAAGCTGAAGTTGGCAACATCTGAGTTCACAGCTTGGAATGTAAGATACTTGTGACATGGCTTTTAGATGCATTTAAAACCTGCTGAATGTCACAGCATTTAAACTAGTTTGCTGCTTCAGTATGCAAATCTCAAGTTGGTGTGGGAGGGTGGGAGATCGCTTGCAAAGTTTCCTACACCATCACAGGAAATAGATCTAAACAAGTAACTTTCTGGATTCACAGTGAAGGGCCAAATCCTTGGGGAAACTTTGGAAAACTACTTTTAGCATGCCCAAACTATCCTGGTTCAAGCTTTGAAGTGTTAAAGAAAACACATACTGTATCTTTTATTGAAAATGTTTCACGAATTTGTTTTAATACTGCACTTGGGTTGTAAGTGTTTTTAATGGTCAACTGTTTTGATGGTAAGCACAGTTGACCTGTTACAAAAATGCTTTACTGAAGACTGCAACACTTCTTCAGGTGAGTGTTGCTGTTTTAGGCATAATAGAGGTTGTCAGATGTCTTTGAACTTCTTGAGTTGAAAAAATATGTAAGAATATATAAGAATCACTGAGTCTATAATGAATATTTGAAGCTCTTAATGTGAGAAGAATGTCACTTGGCAAAACTTACTGCATTCTCCTTTCAACATTTTCTTAACTGTGAGCTTTGTCCCTAAAAGTAACTAGCTCAAATCTTGGGCAAATTGTCTAGATGCAACTCTAAAGCATGTCGTTATGGTTTTGATAACATTTTTACAGTAAATAAGGCAAATATAAAGTGCACTTAGGTAACCTGTGTACTTCCTTTACATATGTTTTCTTCCATATAATTCCATGTATGGTAAGTCAAGAAAGTGAGTTTGGGTTGACAGTTTTAATACCCAGCATGTTGAGCATGGGCATAATTAGAAGTGTTAAGTGTGTGTCCAAAATGCTTTCTGGATTTAGGCATCTGCCTGTATTCTGAAGGTAGACCTTAACTGGATAACGAGTTTATATTGCTTGGGGGGACTAATGATGACCAAAATTACTATAATCTTTCAGCCTGCAGTCTGAGAATAGTTTCATGTGTGCACTGCCAAGGGAAAACCCCTGTTCTCAGAAACTGAGAGTCTGAAGATCCCAGGGTAAGAATGTGGCTGACAAGTTTTTGGGTGTACTTGCATTAGTTGTATTTGATGAATTTCTGTAAAGTAACAGCAGCATTATTTGTGTAATCAGGGATTTATAGGATAGGGTGTTTACAGAAGTTGTGTCTCTAGTTTTTGGGTCACTCAGCACACGAATAGGGTCAGGAGACAATTTTTTAGGTTAGTGTTTGTTTGGTTTGTTTTTTTTTTTTTAGGTCTCCTGGAGGTACTCCTCTTTCTAGACACCAAAAGAGACAAAGTTCAGATTGGGATCCAGTTGCTCTACTAACTCACGCATTAAAGCAGAAATTTGCACATAAAAATTATGATGAAGATGATTCTCTGGACAAAGAAAATCGATCTTTTGATAACTCTCCATTTTCTAGTCCAGAGATCCCAACGGTATGTTTTTGTATAAGAATGTGTGTTTATATTCTTGAAATAACTGCTGTTTGCATGGATAGTTGTAGGGTTTTCACAAGGCTAAAACTTCTCTTCAATTTTTTTAGCCATCAGCCTGGCTGGTTGCTTTTTTTAAAGTAAAATCAAGGCAGAGAATATAAAAAGATAATTATTTTGGGTCGGTTTAGACTGGTAAATACAATTCTGCATGTGCCAAGAGAAAAAACTTAGAAGACTGATTTTAAAAATTTGACTCATGTTTGATTGAACTCTAGACATTTGCTTGATGGTAACTGGCAGGTACCCATGCACAGATATTTTACAAATAAAGGTGTTGGGAAGGCACAAAAAGGTTTAATACATGCTAAGTGTTCAGAAATTAAAACAAAAGCATAGCCAGTAATATTTTTCTTTGAGGTAGCATAATTTCCACACAGTTCGTATCTTTATCCAAAATGAGATGTGATTCTGTTGGAAAGCCCACAAAAAATACAATTATTTCTATGAACAAAGAAGCAAAACCATCTAGGTGACCAGACTAAGGTGACTCTGAGCATTGATTTCTGTAGAGCAGCCTGTGCAAGCTACCTCAGCTTACACAGTCCAGCAGTACTGTTGGTTGTTAAACATTTTCACAAACCTCAGAATTGCTTAGATGAGGTGGATAGAAATAGGTGGCAGTAATTTAAACTGCATCTCTCTGTTAAGCAGTACTGTCTTTTTATCGTAAGAGGGAGATAAATGATTTGGGCTGTGGCACTTGTTATTCTAATAAGTAATAGTAATGCAAAACATAATGGAAATCCAGACGTTTTTTGAAGGCTGCTGCTCTCATACATGAGGCTAGCTGCGTGGCTGAAAACTTGAGGAAAACTTATGTGCACGTGTTCCTCTTTCTAGCTATAATTATTTTAATTTTTTCAGCTGCCAAGGATTTTGCAAGCAAAATGTAGCATGTGTTTTACAGGCTGCAGTGAGTTGACAGCTCTGGTGCAGTCCAATAAATTTCTTTGACTTTTTAATTTTTTCTTTGGGCAGAAAAACCCCCACTTCTTAAAAATAGCCAGGCTTGTATTTTGGATGCTGCAGGCCATTGCATTGGATAGCTGACACACCTGATTCTAGATACAAAGATCAAAAATAGATCCTCTAACAGCTGGATTATAAAGTCCTGAAAGAGAGACTGCTTAAGGTCAGCATATTCAGGAGTAGGTACAAAAAGATGGAATTTTTCTGCTTAAAGGAGAATCATCTTATGAGTTTGTAGTCGAGCCTATAATTGTTAACTGTTGAGTATTTTGAAAAATAAATGTACTTAAACTGATTGCACAGGCTTACTATTTTATTCTTCCTACATTAAGAGAAGTACAACAGCTCTTCCAAACTGTTTCTATTGTAAACATCTAATTGAGTTGTCTTGGGTATAATTTTAACTCCATCCCTGCTCCCCAGGTTGGACGTTGCAGTCTGAAGCTAAATGCAAAACCTAGCCTTACAAGAACTGATGAAGCTGAACAGGTACCAGCGTGGAAAGTGAGAGCTCATATTTAGCTGCAGTGGAGACTTCTGAGGAAACTTCATAGTGTACATGAGTGGTGGGTCCACTTGGAAACTGCTGTAAGGTGCTGTATTGTGTTGTTCTAGAACAGGTCTTTCCTATGCTATTCAAGTTTGGGTGTTGTAGGGTTTGTAAAATTACCTCCTCCTTGGTTTCCCAGAAGCCAAACTTGTGAATGTGATGTTTTGATGAGAAGCATAGAATCGAAAGAGGGCTTCCATTACTATGTAGCAGTGTGTTTGAAACCTGGGAGATCGAGGAAAGCAGTATGTGTGGGGAGGGAAATATATTACTGTGGCAGCTGAGGTGTGCGTTCTGTTTGCAGTGTAAATAACAAAGTATAAACTTTTTGTTAGTGTGTTATCACTGGCTGTATATAATGGTAATACTTCTTCATTAGAGTAGTATAGTTGCCATGGTTTTCTCTGCAGTTAAGATGCAACTCCTTATTCCACGTGCAACCAATATTCTGATTCATTTTGGGTCAGGAGATGAACTTTTATGTTTGTGAAACTTTGTGCTGTAAGTAAACTGCAGCTGCCTATTAAGTGCCTGTAATATGAGGGAGTTGCATTCTGAGATAAAAAAAGACCTTGGAGAGAGATCTGCTAGCACATAGTCTAAATTCCATGTGTAAGTAAACATTAATTCCCACCTCAACTTGTTCATCTGACCTCAGTTTTGTTCACATGAGTTTATAAAATAAAATTTTCTTTATATTGTAGATGTGTGTGGTAGTGGCCTTTTGTGTTGCAGACTCTCTTGTATCTTAAGATCTGACCATATTAGACAGCTTCCTAAATTGCATTATCTAAAACTAGTTAAAGTGCAGCTTATATTTTCTCCTGCCAGAGCACTTGATGGAGCCACTTATTTACAAATTTATTATGATCCACTGCTTACAGTAGCTGCCTTCACTTAGTCTTTTGTCTGATGATCCTGATGTATAAAACCTAAATCTTGTCAGACTCTTGAATGTGTCCCTTATATATCCTATGTGTCTTCTATTTCCCTGCTCCCTTACACAGAGTAGACTGACAGCTGTATCCCCTCCTACTGCTGAGTCTTATTTGCACAGATGTAAGAAATTAGTGTGCAAATGCCATACTTTCATTTTAATTTTAAAAATTATCTTTTGAGTAAAACTGAAGCTTAAGTGACTTGATATATTATGCTCCTAAAATGATATCATCTAGATATTTGTTTGGTTTTTTATAGATTTTGTAATTCTTTATCATATTCTCCCATTCCTTGCTTGGTCCATAAGAGTTTGGCCTTCCCTTT